ATTTCCTCATCAGCTTCCGCTACCTCTTCAAAGCTGCCTGCCATTTTCCTTCTTTGCTTACTCCTGGGCTGAACAGCGAGAAAGAGAATTTTTCCTTTTGGACGGTGGGGCAGGACTATGCAGTCCCGCTCTTCAGTTTCCTAAAAAGTGGTTTCACCATGAACTTCTCTTCTCTTCTCCCCATGGAAGTAGAAACATATTTTACAAAACTATGTTGAGTTTAATTTACACATCCTTTCACGAACAGACCAAGTTCTTTAAGGGCATTTATTCTGCTTCATATAAATAATTGATCAGCCAAGTTAATTTACTTCTGCCTGACTTGGTCAGCCTTAATTAACTGCCCTGGAATCAAGACTGAACTTTTTGTTAGCTTAAAATCTTTCACAAGCATGATAACAAGGGCTTTATTTTCCTTAAATTTTCAGCATCAACACTGTAACCAAGGAACTAATCATAATAACAAAGCACTGCTTTAATTTACTATAAATACGTTGGCCTGGACATTATGAATTTTCCAGAATACGTCCAGACAGCGGCCCTGTTGGCAGTGACGATAAATAAGCCTGCTGCAGTCAGTTCTTACCCTTTCCTACGAGTTCCTCCAGTGCGAAAATCGATCTTCTGGAAGCTAGTAGCTCTGTAGCGTTTCCAAGCGTGTCGTGCGGGTCGTTTTGGCTCCTTTGCAGCGTGCGTGCAGCAGCGGCGGCGGCCTTTGTAGGGTTGTGTTGAGTGGATCGTGTGTTTGAAATGGGCCCTGCTCATTTGGAGAAGGCAGATGCGGGAAGCAGGTTTGGCCTTGTGCGTGGGTGTGGCATGACCCTGCCCTCCGGGTGCCGGGTCTTCACTCTCAGACACATTGGGGATTATTCACTCTTGCTTATTCTCAGTTTGTCATGGAGTAAGGCAGCTTTGTTGAGTACAGGGGGTCCCTGAGGGGAGGGGAGGTTGTACAAAGTGAGTGCCCGCAGCCAGCTTCCTCCTTGCAAAGAGGGTGCAGTGTGTGAGAGGGGCCAGAGTTGCTGCCTCTGTCCAGTGACTGGCTGCCGGACGACTCTAGAAGCATCAAACTCAATGGAAAAAGAGCCTCTTGCTTGCTAAAAAATGCTCCCATATCCCACCCTGGTATTGGAATGGTTTTCTTTGTGCACCTGCCACCCTCATTGTTGTCAAATGTACTTAGTTTTCTTTCCTCTGATTGACTCATTCAGTGCCCAGCCTATAGGACGTTGCAAACTGGAAATGCACCATCATTTCTTAAAGGGACAGGTTTGTGTCTGAAAATGGGGGCATAGTTACACCTGTCCCTTCATCTGTCGAGCTGAAGTTTTCTTATCTGTGAAATGGGGATAACCTTTACCTGCCTTATCGCCTGCATAGACTTGTGAGTTTGAAAAGGACATCCAGGGGCTTTGCTGTGTGTGACGTGTGATAGATAGAAAGGCTTATTAAATGGCTTGGGGTGTTCAGTAGACACGGTGCTGGCCCAGCCACTGTTAGAAATCTGCTTAGACATTGACACTCTTAATTTTTCACATGTGCTTTTCAAAAAGCTGTTTTCTCCTGATTGGTTTGAGAGATGATGAGAAATTTTAAATCTTCCAACCTACATACTACTGCTAGCACTTGACTAATTAAGGACATCCTTAGACCAAAAATAATCCTTTATGCAATTTTGGTCCCAAAGCCTGCACTCTCACAAACCTGATTCACAAGCCAAGCTTGGCTCAGTGCCTAAAAAACTCGTACTGCAGGACTTGGCACCCGGCATTGGAACCGCGCGGAGCAGAGACAGGGCCTTCTCATCGACTCGTGTGACTCCACCCACCAGCATGGTGTCAAGCGAAGGAAGTGAAAGCCCAGCCAGTCGCTCAGACACCTGTTCCCAGGCCTGGGATCCGGATGGTCACATGGTCTGGAAGCAGCATCATTCTACCTGCAGCTTTGTTTCACAGTCGACTAAACATGGCCCATTCTGAGACAGGCATCACGTTTATGCATAGGCAGCGTTTCTGCCTTTGGGGGATCCAGTCCCTAATAAGATTAAAGAATTATTTTTTTCTTTAGGTAACTTCTGACAAACCCTAATCATTCCATGGGTTTCTTTGCCAACTACTCGAAGACAGCCATCTCTTCAGATATCTTAACAGTGTGCCTTTTCCTTAGCTTCCGTAGAAATGGGCTAGTTGGAGGAGAAACTGAAGTCTTGGGGGAAAAATACTTGGCTTTTACAAACTGATTCCTTTTTAGAGATGAATAAAGTAATCATGTTGCCATGAAGTACCTTGTGGCCTGATTCTTTACACCTTTTATTTTTTTAATTAACTCAAGAGCTAGAGAGATCGAGACAGAAAAAGCTCCCATCTGTGGGTTCACTCTGCAAATGCCCACAGCAGTCAGCACTGGGCCAGGCTGAAGCTGGGCACTCAATCCAGGTCTCCATCATGGGTAGCAGAGACCCAAGCATTCGCACTGCCTCCCAGGGTCTGCATCGGGAGGAAGCTAGGCTGAGGATGCTGGGGCAGAAATCCAGCGAAGGCACCCTGACTTGGGTTGCAGACACATTAAGCATTGCCTTATTAAATTTGAAGCCATCCTACGGGCACATTCCCTTGGGAAAGCTGCTGTTGTTGTAATAGATTCTTTCCTCGCGAGACAGTAGGGACGTGCCATGTTTAAAGGACTGTAATTACTGGAAAGTCTCATCTCAAGAGGAGAAGCAATCAGCTGCTGTTTTTGTGTATGTTTCCCACCTGTTAACAAAAAATTCCATGCTTAATCTACTTCAGAATTGGATTAACTTAAAAATATATATGGCTCCTGGGTTGAAGAAGTCTGTATCAAGTTGGATCATAGGAAACATGGGAGGAAATGAAGAAGAATGTGAACTGTTCCCCTATAAATTCCTCCATTGCATTTTTGTGCAAGTCTGCAAAACAAAAACAAAAACCCAGAATTAAACCAATTTTTAGCAAAAAGACAAGTTCCTCTAAAGATTTCCAGAGTGTCTGATGAATTGCCCTGTTGTCACATATTTGATGTATGGGGGAGAAATATGTAGCAGTAGATGTATACACAAGAGGTCTTCAAGAAATTCATGGACAACGTATATATATTCAAAAATACATGAATTTTTTTGCGCCAAAATACAGTTATTTTCAAATTGTGTTTCTCCATGAACTTTTTGAAGTACCCTCGCACGTCCTTCCATGATTGGAGCAAACTTGTGTTCCGAGTTTTCTGGCCTTTTATCTGGAGTCGGCATCGCACAGTAATGTCTTACAGATTCAGACCTTTCTCAGCTGTGATGTCTGAACTGTCGGCTTCCTTTGGTGACTTATTTTTCCTTTTCCAAGTCCTAGTCCAGGATCGTGGCGTGTGACCCTGTCATTTCCATTGTTTTGCTTCCCCTCCACCTGAAGTTTAAGAAAATACCTTGTGGTTAGTAGTTTTGACTCCAGTGTGAATTGGCTTAAATCCACTGTTCCTAACTGTGGTTCAGAGTGCACAGAGTCTAAGTACCCTCTTGGAGCCTCAGTTTTCTCCTCTGCAGACTGGGGAGCAAATGCATATGCAGATCACCTCTCTGGCGACCGCTAGATTGCTATCATTATTATTATTAGCAGTTGACATGAGCAAATTATCTGTCTTTTGCCCCCTTTAGAAACCTTGACTGAGTTGACTCCTTGGGCTAAGTTGATTCCCTAGGCTAACCATTCTGTGTCTGCAGAGTAGCAAGGATGAATGTGGAATGTGTTTACGTAGGTATCCTGTATCTCCTCCTGCTGCGGTGGATAGCTTTCTCTATTAGACATTTAGTGCTTTCAGATTCGTTCCTTTTGTTGTGTCTGCCTGGGCAAGATTTTTTCTTTTCTTTTTTTATTAACTCAATATAAGGGTCAGACCCTTTGGAACTTACTCCAGACTCTGAAGATCAGCAATCCCACATGAGAAACGGCTACCTTTGGGTGGGATTTCTCAGGACAATCTAAACTGCAAAACAAAGATTAGAGTCTGAATTTATGTAACTTCTGAGAGGTGAGGGCTTCCCTGCCCCCTCTCTCCAAGTGGCCCAACTTGTTGGAATGGCCAGGTTTGAAGTGTTTCAGTTTAAGGGCTTCCAAGGAGAAGGAATCTTTCAAATGCCTTTGGCATTGACTGTGAGGTTTTTCAGCACAAATGACCTCCTGGAGCCTCCTTGGAATGTGTGCGTAGCATCTCCTGACAAGCTGAGGTTAGGGAGTATTTCTTCTCTTTTTCTTTTATAATTTGTGTTTGTTTATTTATTTTTTTTATTAATGCAGGCAGACAGACAAACTGAGACAAGAGGGACAACGAGAAAGAGATATACCTCCTACCTGCTGGTTCACTCCCCCAAATGCCCACAATGGGCAGGACTAGGTCAGGCCAAAGCTGGGAGCTGGGCAGTCAACTTCGGTCTCCCATGTGGGTGGCAGGGACCCAGCTACATGATCTGTCACCACTGTCTTCCGAAGCTCACAGCAGCAGGAAGCTGGAGTGGGGAGCAGTGTGAGGTGGGACGCAGGATCTGAACCACCAGGCCAAACACTCACCCGGTGAAGCTGGAGAGGATTCAGACAAGAGTATAGAACGATATGCAGTACCCGCGCATGTTAAAACTTAATGTTGTTTCCAGAGTGTGCTATGGGACGACTTACTGGTTTTTGAGCAGATCAACCAGATTTAATCAGAGAAATTAAACCCTGAAGTCTAGGTTCACCTGAAAATATTCATTTTTCCCCCTGCAGGAGAACAGCTTGATGCATTTCCAGCAATACTATTAATACTTAAATTAGGACTCCTAAAACTAGGGGATTGACCCACCAAGGGGGGATAAACAAGAATGGGGGGAAAGAAAGACAACTGTTTACAGATTTTGGCAACATTGAAGGCCAGGGCACTTCTGCTTAGCAGCAACAACTGTTTTAACAGCTGCCCTTCTCTTTCTCCCCCGCCCTGCCTGAAAATGGTTCTCCCAGGTTTTTGAGTCATGATGCAAGAATCTGGGACTGAGACGAAAAGCAACGGTTCAGCCATCCAGAATGGGTCGAGCGGCGGCAACCACTTGCTAGAGTGTAGCAGCCTCCGGGAGGGCCGGTCCAACGGGGAGACGCCCGCCGTGGACATCGGCACAGCCGACCTCACCCACGTCCAGCAGCAGCAGCAACAGCAGCAGCAGCAGCAGCAGCAGCAGGTACTGGGCTGTGGAGTGCAGGGCGGCGGCGGGTGCTGGGTGCGAGTGTCAACCCCATTTCACGCATGGTCGCCATCGGTGTTCTGTGCTCACCCGTGTGCCTGTCAGCAGTGTTGTGTAAGCCAGCTCTGCTCCAGGTGGCCTGGTGGCCGCCAAGGAGGACAACTCTCCAAGCCCTTGTGAGTTGCAAGTCTCAGAAGTCCCATAGGGGGAGAGTTTTTTGGAGTCTAGGATGGAATGGGTCTCTGTCCACTGCCTCCCTATAGGTGTCACCTAACCTTTCACTGCTTTGTGCATAGTCACTCTTAGGAGAGCAGTTCCCATGAAAAGACAGAGGAAACAAAACAAAAATGAGCATAAGCCTTATAAGGAAGGAAACAGAGTAGCAGATAAGGGAAGTAAGAGAAAAGGGTAAGTAAATAAGGAAAGTAGAACCAAATAGAAATACAGGCACAAATGGTTAAATGGAGCAGGCAAAATGTCCAGGACACAGGTGTCAGTGTAACACATTGCTCTCCGCTCCCATAAGAAGTTAGGGATGTGTTTCTGTGTTTCTTGTTTTCATGTGGTCTTTCATATTCATGTTTCAAACCATCTCTTAATGGTGCCTCCCAGAAGCACAGGTAAGTTGGGACATAGTCTTTGGAGGTAGGCGAATGGGTACCTATGAGTGACTGGTGAAATATTTCCTAATGATAAATAAAGGTGACGCAAGAAACAGTGTTGTGTTGGCAGGTGTGAAGGAAAATTCAAATAAGTAAATACTGTTTGCTTCAAGACTGACTTTGGTTCTCCAGCCTCTCTTGGAGGCAGGAAATATTTTGAGTTTTTGTTAATGATCATGAGCGGTTTTCATTCCAGTTTCTTCACTGATTTCATTTATTCAGTATGTGGTCATGGCGCCTTGTGTAAACAGGTGAGGGAAAAGGTACACAAACCACTAGCAGTGGCGTAAGCGAGGGGCAAATCATTTCTCAAACCACTTTCTTGGAATCTGTATCTCAGAGAAGACCAAGGATTCCCTTCCTGTATTAGGGACATCGCTTTTGTAAAGGCTCTAAAGCATTTGTAACGTTTTCTTCATGCAAACAGTTTCTAAAACTATAAGGAATCATTGGGTTGTTTAACCCATTGCAAGGTGTGGAAGCATCATGAAACCGTAGAGGAAAAAAAAGAAAACAGGCCAAAGTTGGAATTCTGAGGGCTTCCTGCAAGTGATTGAATCTCCCCTTCACTGGCTGCCCACACCCATTTGTGCCTGTGCCTTGAGCCACACGTCAGCTGAAATTTTTGTGCTTGTTGTGTGTGTGTGTGTGTGTGTGTGTATTTAAATGTTGTGCATTTGAATTAATGCAGAGAAGGCTAAATTCTAACAAATGAGATTATTATCAAAATCCAGCTGTAAACAGAAGAGCATCCGTGTGTTTCACATCATGTGTGAGGTTCTCAGCTAGTAACGGTTACAGCGAGACAAACCAGTTGGTATTTTGGAGTGCCATTTTATAGGCCCTTACTAAAAGAGGTCGAGATCAACTGTTCCTTTGTGGAGCAGTGGTGGTGGGGCTGTTGACGGATGTGGTGTGCATCACAAATAATTAGTATTTAGAGTACATTAATTAAAATAAACTTGTGAATTTGTGTTTGAAGAACTGAGAAATCATTCAGAATTGCAACGTAGTAAGTCAGTCCAAAACTCTCACATGCACAGTATGTCATCAAAATACACGCACGCACACAGCAAGAATAACAATAACAAATGAGCTGCGCCGAACAAAGTTAGCAAAGCACATTTCAACAGCAGCTTCCTTAAACAGTATCAGTGACAGGATTAGCCATCCACATCTTCCCTCTTTACCTTGGCTGTGACCACTTTGGAAAATTTATTGTTTTGGGTTATTGATACAAAGGTCAAGAAACTGATTTTGACCATACTTCATAATTCTTCTTTAACATTTGATGTCAGATTTATTTGTATTTGCCATTGATATGGTCTCAGATGAAAGAAAACAGTTGGCTCCGTTGTTGTGGCTAAAACTCCAATCATCATAGTTGGCAAGCCTTTTTAGGGCTCTTAAAATATTGACTGCTCTTTGCCTCCCCCTAAGTATCTAATATGGCTCTTAACAGGTTGTTGGGGGAAAGGGACAAGCTATAGATGAAACAAGAATCACTATAGGATTTGAAAATATTTCACAGGACTCGAGTGCCCAGAGTTCTCTTGCAGACTGACAACTGCAGCAATTAAGCAGTTTGGAGAAATCTGAACATCACAGGGTGGACTCGGTTGTTTTCGTCATTTTTATTCTACAGGTTTTTACTTGAAGTGAGAATACCAGCAGTGAGAAAATCACAGCCATGCTGAATTCATTACTGCAGTAGTCACACAAAACCACGGATAAAATTTCAATAACTGCAGGCCACAGTTGAGTAAACAGTTGCACTGAAATTTAATTCCTGTTGACTTTTCCCCCATTCCTCGCCAGGGGCACATTCTGATTCCGTAGTACAAAGACAACAGGGGTTACAGCTTTGATTAATGTAGGACAGTGGAAGAGAATTAGAACTGTAAAATATGTCAGAAGTCCATGGAACACAAAGATCCGGCTTAAAATGCCTTGGTATAAAAATGAGTTAATTATGCTCTGCGTTGAACTGAATGTTACAGGATTTTCCAGTGGCACCAGGGCCATCATTGATGATAGAGGGGGAGTTTGTACCCTAGTGCCAGACTTTAAAATCAATACATGCAACCCTTCCATGTTTGCTCCATATTACCAAAGATAATTACAGATTACAGCAAATGCCCTTTTCGCAGTGGAGGGCTCTGTTGAGGATTCACCTAGGAGTAGTGAGCTGCATCCTGTTTGGTTTATAGTTTGGCTGAATTGGATCCAAACAGAGTTTTTTTGTTTTTTTTTTTTTAAAGAAAAAATTAGTTGACAGCCTAGAGAAATGGGAGGAATCTGGCGTTTTCATCTTCTCTTGAAAAATCAGGATATCTGGTAACCTTGGGCCGATAGTCCCACAAGGGCAGCAATTGTTAGGAGATGAATTGCTGCTGGAGACGGGCGCTGCAGCCGTCCAGTTCACACTGGTGGCCGCCCAGTAGCATCACTCAATTATGCCCTGTAGGTAGTGGAGTCGGTGATTCTGGTCTAGCAGAATGCAGTCATCACTCAGAAGCCATCAGCCAAGGAGAGGTGCCGTTCGGTGGAGGGGCCCCCCAGCACACTCCCCAATTGTCTTCCTCCTTCCAAACTAAATGGATTATCCCTGTAATGTTTCAACTCTATTTATATCTGTGCCATGAAACTATTATAACAATAGTTTTCTAATAATATAATTTGATAGACTATCCGAACATTTTCTTTTAGCCATGGAGTAATTCTTTACCCAATACCATAACTGCTTTTTATTTCCTATTATGCCTGCCCCATTTCTATGTCTGTAAAAGTTCTGTATTGGATGTGCACCAGTCCATTATGAAACTCAGCAACAAATACTATTACCAATTACGAAAGGTTTTTTTTCCCCCCCTAAAGAAGGGATTTTAAAATGTCCAGAGCAATTTCATAAACTGTGTGGATTAATGCATTTTAAAAGTCTTGAATTTTAGAAAGCAGAATTTTATTTCCATATTGCTGCAAATGAGAGCTTTTTCAGATAAGCATATTACATAGAGCATAATGTTTAGAAGTTTCGCCGTATACAGCATATGCTGTCAGGTCAATTAACAGAATGCATACTAGGAAATGTTTATTCAATAAAAATGAATAGCTGTTAAATAAAACAGCTATCTCTTACCATTCTATTTAATGAGGGGTGTTTTTTTATTTTTGTTTTGGGGCTTTTTTCTGGTGCCACCTGTCGTTTTATTGTCTGCAAGTCAGTATAGGCAGAGCTTTGGTTGCTGTAGATTTGAGCTGTGTCTGTCATTTCCGCTGAAGGGGGCAGTTTTCGGGGACCCTGTGACAGTGATGTAAAATGCAAAGATTAGCTGTGTTTGGAATTTGAGCGTTTATTATTTAGGGGGTATGATTAAATGAAGTGTTTCACTTCACATAACCTGACCTTTGGTTTAAGGTGTTGTACATTTTAGTGTGAGTGACTGTGTCTGTGTCAAGTTAACAATGGAAAGAAATAGAGAAAACATTAAAGGACTGGAAAGACAGGGTGAGAGGATAGTGGGCTTCAGTTTTCAAAATCATGGGAGGGAAGGCGAAGGACCCACTGAGTGAATTTTGCTAATAAGACATTCAAAGAGGTCATTGCACAGGACTCGGAAGCTCAGAGAAGTAGAATGAATGTGGGTACTTTCAAAGTGGAGGCAGAAAACCCCCTGTCAGAGGAACCTAGGAGAATGGTGACTATGTATCCTAGGCCCCTCTGAACATGGGAAATGGAATTAGAGTGGATCCTCTGTGGACATGGGCTCCTCATCTGCACACTGAACCAAATGAGGATGGAAAACATTCTGGAAAAAAATGTTGTACCAGACATGTTCCAACTTAGTTTCTATATTGCTGCCTAAATAATACAGTATACCAAGTGTTTACCTAGCAGTTATACATATTGGGTATTATCAGCTAATCAATTGAAGGTGTAAATACATGGGAAGCTGTTGTACATCCTATGCCAATCTTCTGGAAGGGACTGGAGCATCAGTGGATTTCGGTATTTGCATCCTTCTGTGAACACCTGGGGATGACCGGGTAAGGTCAGTGTTTGAGAGGGCTGGCTGAGGATCTTTATTCTTTTGTATAAATAAAGACACAACCAAGCAAAACCCCTCCACTTCCATGATGCTCTCAGTGTTGGTGCAGTTGCTCCTGGGTATAGGGCAAGGTGTACTACAGTCGTGTCCAGTTTCTTTGCTGTCTCGGAGTGTGAAAGGAGCTGTCCCCTGGCGTCTTATTCTTGACCACATTCCTTGAAGGGACTCTTAAATTCCAGGGGCCGTCCTTGGCCTTGATTGTCACCTTCTAGAGAGTGGCACAGGT